CTAGAATTATAACAGAGAGAGCGGTCACAAGGGGAATGGATATTCCATAGATTCCCAAAGGTTGACTCTTCCGTCCAAGCATTACACCTGCACCATTCACACACCTGCACTATTCACATACCTGCCCTGCACTGTTCATACACCTGCACCATTCATACACCTATACTATCCATACACCTGCACTATTCACACACCTGCACCATTCATACACCTATACTATCTTCCCAAAGGTTGACTCTTCCGTCCAAGCATTACACTCTGCACTATCTACACACCTGCACTATTCACATACCTGCTCCTGCAACACCCATACACCTGCACCATTCATACACCTATACTATCCATACACCTGCACTATTCACACACCTGCACCATTCATACACCTATACTATCCATACATATCTGCACCATTCGTCACAATAATCTGTACCATTCATACACCTATACTATCCATACACCTGCACTATTCACACACACACACACTGTCCACACACCTGCACTATTCATACACCTGCAAATTCATTCATACACCTATACTATCCATGCACCCGCACTATTCACACACCTGCACCATCTATACACCTATACTATCCATACACCTGCACTATTCATACACCTGCACCATTCATACACCTATACTATCCATGCACCTGCACATTCACACACATCTGCACCATTTCATACACCCATACAATCCATACACCTGCACTATTCACGCACACACACACTGTCCACACACCTGCACCGTTCACACCCGCACCATTCATGCACCATACTATCCATACACCTGCACTATTCACACACACACACTGTCCACACACCTGCACTATTCATACATCTGCACCATTCATACCCCTATACTATCCATACACCTGCACTATTCACACACATGCACTGTCCATACACCTGCACTGTTCATACACCTGCGCCATTCATACATTGACACTGTCCATGTACCTGTGCTGTTCACACACCTACAATGTCCATACACCTGCACCATTCACACAAAAGCACTATCTATACACCTGCACCACTCAAAACATGCACAGTCTATACACCTGCACCATTCACACACATGCACTGTCCACACACCTGCACCGCACTGTCCACACACCTGCACCATTCACACAACACACCTGTCCACACACCTGTACCCATTCATGCACATGCACTGTCCACACCTGCACCATTCACACATGCACTGTCCACACCTGCACCATTCACACATGCACTCCGTTCATAACTGCACCATTCACACATGCACTGTCCACACACCTGCACCATCTACACACATGCACTGATCCACACACCTGCACCATTCACATACATGCAATTGTTCATAAGCAACTGTACCATTCACACACATGCACTGTCCACACACCTGCACCATTCACACACATGCACTGTCCACACACTTGCACTCTCCAATATTAGCCAGGTATGGCTACTGAGTGCTTGTAATAGGGAATATCCAAGTTTCAGCACTTGAAATATACTAAAAAATGTAAAAAACAGACCAAATTTTGAAGCTATAGTACTTATTCTGAATGTAAAATATCCCATGACTAACTTTTATATTAATTACACATTAAAATAGTAATATAGATATATTGACTTTAATAAAATGTTTTATTAAAATAAATGTCACCTGTTTCTTTTTACTTCCCTTTTTTTTTTTTTTTTTTTTTTTTTTGAGATGGAGCCTCACTCTGTTGCCCAGGCTGGAGTGCAGTGGTGTGATCTTGGCTTGCTGCAACCTCCACCTCCCAAGTTCAAGCAATTCTCCTGCCTCAGCCTCCTGAGTAGCTAGGATTACAGGCACACAGCACGGCACCTGGCTAATTTTTGTATTTGTAGTAGAGACGGGGTTTCACCATGTTGCTCAGGCTGGTCTCAAACTCCTGACCTCGTGATCTGCCTGCCTCGGCCTCCCAAAGTGCTGGGATTACAGGTGTGAGCCACCACGCCTGGCCTCTTTTTACTTCTTAAAAGTAACCCCTAGGTCATTTAAAATTACATATGCGGCTTGCATCATGTTTATATTACACTACTCTACACACTGAAATGCACCTGTAAATTTCAGTCAATTAGTATGTGGCCCTGAAGAAGCCATACCACAAAACAAGAAGAAACCTCTGAGACCAAACAGGCACAATTATACTTTTTGAAAATGCTTATAAAATTATCTTGCATGAACAAAATAAATCTATTCATCATTCAGTTAGCAATGTTCTAAATTAAGAAATTAATTAACCATTATTGAGAATCTACTATGCGCCATACACTATGTTGGAGAATGGGACAACTGTGAACAAATCAGACCCAGCCACTGCCTTCGTGTAAAGTCAAGTAATCAAGAGAGCACACTTGGGAGCCTGACAACTTGGGTCCAAATTCTGACTCCATCCCTTACCAGCCATGTGATCTGGAACAAGTTAAAACAGCCTTAGTTTTCTTACATATAAAACAGGAATTTTATCTGGCAAAGATGCTGCAAGAATTAAATTAGTAAAAGGCAAATAGAAGCATACCATATTAGTCACCTAGTGCTGTATAACTTAGCAGCTTAAAACAACATGCATTTATAAGCTCACTGATTCTTTGGATCAGGGATGGAGGCAGAGCTTCCCTAGGTCCTCTGCTCTAGGCTCTCTCACCAGGCTTCAATCAAGGTGTTAGACAGGGCTGGGGCCTCAACTGAAGGCTTACTGGGGAAGGACTGACTTCCAGGTTCACTAAAAGATGATTGTCATCATCTTTTGGGATGTTGAACTGAAGGCTTTAGTTTCTAGCTGGCTGCTGCTTGCTTGGTCATCTCCAACCTGGCACCAGGTTTTATCAAAGCCAGCAAAAGAGAAAGTCTGCTGTTAGGACAGCTAAAAAGCCCTGCCTTCATGGAGCTTACATTTGAGCTGGCTGTATGGCAGAGGGTATTGGGAGGTTGGTGGAAGAGAGACAGGTGGTAGCAATAGAAACAAGTAATTGCTCAATCTAAATTCCATTAAGGTTACACCCCCAAATTATAGAATGTTCATTCTAAAATGCCAATCTCATCATGGCCCTCTTTTTTATTAAATATGCTCCAATTGGTAGGTTCATTGCTTTAAAGATGAAGACAAAATTTCTTAGTTTTCACTATAACCTACTGTTCCAAGCTGTGTCTCCAGTGTATCTACCATAGCAGTAGTTGAATGGTTACAGAGAGTAGCTACTCTGAAAATGATTTTTTAAAGTGTCTTAGATTTTCCATCTTTTGCCTTTTATTCTTCCACTTGTGTCCATATCTTAACATTAAACTATATTCTATTGAAAGGAGCATCTCAGTGATGTTCCAGCAAAACTGGAATTAATAGTCCTGAACCCTTGAAGATGATAATATTGGTACCAACATCTTCTTGAAGGCCCTTTCTATCATTATATCATCATTATCATAAATACTGATATAAGGCTGATTTTTATTATAATAAAACAAGATTGAAGGCCAAGGCAGAAAGATCACTTGAGACCAGGAATTTGAGACCAGCTTGGACAACATACTGAGACCCTGTCTCTACAAAAAAAAAAAAAAAAAAGATGGAATATTCTGACCCTTTACCTGAGTCAAGGAGGTGGGACCAAGTAGAATTGCTTAGAAGCAAACCATAATATAAACTTCTTTGATTTACTCCCAGCGCATTCTGTGCTGGAGATCTATGGGTGGAAGCAAAGAATTTTTAAAAAATCAAAATAGTTTTTCCTACGAAAAACTTGGTGGGAATTCCAACAGAAGTAGTCAATAGACAGATGCTATCCAGTGAAATGAGAGTCTCAGGTGAACTGGAGACCGGTACATGTAGAATCAAAGAGCCTTAGAGTCGGAAAGATATCAGAGATGACGCAGTGAAGCCCCCAGCCAGAGACAGAGTCCCTTCAATGTCACACCAGTCCTGCAACTTCTTTTACTTCCACCCTTCTAATTATAGAGAACTGGCTCTTTTACAAGGCTGACATTTTCATCATTAGAACCCAGCTGTTATCTGCACTCTTCTTTATTTTAAGGTATTTCCCCGGAATTACTGCACATTAAAAATTTTGACATTTTAGGCTACAGAAATTTTGATTGAATCCTCTTGCTGTACAACAGCCCCCACAACACTTGCTCTCAGGGGTCTCACCTATCTTAAAATTCCTCTCTTTGTCATACTTCTCTTCAGATGTTTCCAACATGCACCGCCGCTGAAGTTTTTTTGTTCCAGTTATCTTCTGTAGGATGAAGAGTAAGTTCTCAGAGTGCCAAGATGGCAAAGCAATGCTTAACACATCGTCTGACTAATGAAGAATAATTAGAACATTTATTTTCCATGAACTATTTTTCTATTATTGTAGCTTAATATCATGCTAACTTTTTAAGCAACCATTTCACACCCTTGGTGCCCATTAAAAGTTTTTAGTCAATTACAATCCTTAAATTTTTTTTTCTCATGAAGTGTTGCCAAGGTAGATGTTTCCCAACCTGCATGTGTACTAGTGTGTGTGTTAATCTCAGACCTCTCTGTGATCACGGGAAAATCGCTAGCCATAAACCTCACGTTATTAAACCATAAAATGAACCTAATAATGTTAGAACCACAAGTGAGGTGCTGTAGAAAGTACCATGTCTGGTAGATAAGTGCTCCTCTTATAAAGAACAGGCTATTTATAACCACTATCTTGTCAAAAGACCATAGGTGACCAGGCTAATTACCTTTCCAAAAACTAATTTTTAATCCACAGCCTTCCCTTCTCCTTACTCTACTAGAATCCCTGCTTCCAACAATTAAACACCCATCGAGTTAATTTTCTTTCCTCTCACACAGGTTGATTGAACTCTTGACTTTCTTTCTTTCTTTCCTTCTTTTTTTTTTTTTTTTTTTTTTTTTTGTTTTTGAACAGCCGGTCAGGTCAAGAAACCCAACCCCTCTCCACCAACCGGAGCCCCGCCCCCTGCCCCTGGCTGGCCCGGAGAGTTGAAGGCCAAAGACTGCGAGGAGGGCGCTCGCTGCTGTGCTCCCGGCCAAAGCGCAGGCTCGGCCTGCCTTATCCAGTGGGACGGCAAAGGGTCACTCTAAAAATTGCTGCAGTCGGGTCTTGTCAGGTGGCTGCTGGTGGCTCCCCACTGGATTTTCCTTCTCCCTCTCTCTGTCTCCACAGATCCCTTCCCAAGAGGAGTCTCCTGCTAAAACTTCATCATCTCCAGTTGACCTGCCACTTCACCCAAGAAGGGTAAGGAGCTGGGACCAGAGTCTCCAATTCCTGCCTTCTAGATCCTGGGGTGTGTGTGGATGTGTGGGTGGGAGACGGTGGGCTGAGTGTTTGTGGTTGTAGAGCTATTTTACTGAAGGGAGTCTACAGCTGGGTCAGGTGGTTCATGTCCCTAATCTGAAGTTGGGAGACAGAAAACATTTTTTTGAAATCTGAGAAATGTAGTGTGTTAGGAGAATGTCACAGTAACAGAAATGCATGACAGCGATGCGCTATAAACGTAAAACCACCTGTAATTTCTAACAAAAATTCTAAATCTCTAAAGCTTAAGATATATTTTTCTTTCACTACTTTATAGAGAAGGAGGAGAGAAAATTCTTAGGCTTTGTTCACAAAGTTTAGAATTCTATCTTTATTTTTATCAAGAATCATTTTAACATTTGGTATTGATCAGTTTGGATAAAATGTTACCAGTTTTAACTAAATCTGTAGCACAGATATCGGACAACTCTGAATTCCCAGAAATATAACCTGTTGACAAAATGGAAATATCCTTTCTGGAAAAAAAGAAATTGTTGTTTGGCTAAAAAATAGGTATTTGTCTTAAATGTGCACATGTCATTATGCTGACATATATTTTATATTTAAAATCATGTTGGAAGTGTAATGGTAAAGTGAAAACCACCCCCCACCCCCATCACCCCGAAGCTGGACTTAAAATGGCAAGCGACAGAAGCCAGGAGGGTTTCTATTCCTGGAGGTAGGGCTGATGAGCCCCGACAGATGCAGTGATAGGAATGTGGCCAGGACAGGGAGCAGGAGCAGCTGATTCGCCCCTTTGACAAAAAGACATTCTGGGATCCCAGTTCATACTGGCATGAGAGTGACAGTGACACTTTAGCACACATGGCTTTTCAGCTTGCCCTGTTGTGGACGCTCTCCCAGGAAGCATGGGTGCAGGGCAGTGGGAAGGAAAATGTTCTTAAATATAAAGTAACAACTCTTTTCTGTAACCTATTCTGGGGGCCTTCCTCTGGGATCAGTTGGGGCCGGGAAGAATTTAAGTGCCATGCTTTCACATGGACTTGCCCACTTACAGACAAGGGTCCAATTACGTGCCAGAGCTTGGCAGCATTATTCTCAGTCCAGTCATTTTGGATCTATTTCGGATTATGGATCTCATGAAAATGCAGAGCCCGCTATGTGGAAAGTACACATAAACATATGCACACAGTATGTTTCAGACTATCCCACAGGACTCATGGACTCACCTGATACCCAACCCAGATCAGGAATGCCAGGTACAAGTCAGATCATCCAACTACATTTAAATTTCAGGTAAGCTACACATCAACTTTTAGTATAAGTATGTCTCCAACACTGCCTGGGACATACCTATACTAAAATATGATTCATAGTTTCTCTGAAATTCACATGTAACTTGACATCTTGTATTTTTATTTGCTAAATCTAGCTGTTCAGACCCAGACATATAGATCCCATGTAAAGAAACCTTGTCTCAGTCAGTTCATCCCTATCTGATAAAGAGTAGATTCTAGAGATATGGAAGGCCATATTAAAGGGACATTTGATGTAGGAACAGATTTTGACAATTCTGACAGCGAAAGTCAGCTGTGTATTCATAACTCTCTGCAAAATTATAGAAGCAAAAGTAATGCATCTCCTTGTTTGACAGATGATTAAACTGAAATCCTGATAGGTTGGACGTTCTGACATAGGTCTATCAAGCGGTTAGAGCAGAATGAACACCAAAACCCATTTTCAGTTCTATGATGATTAAAAACTCAATTTCTAACCTCCTCTCCCTCCAACACACAAAATACTAGGAAAGAAAAAGAGCCATTTTACTAAAGTTTTCAACAAAACCCAAACAAAAACTTTTGTACTGTGTCCTTGCATCCTATATCCAGCCTTAGAGAATAGAATTGTAGTTAACTTTGGGCATAGAGTCTGTATTTTTTATAGAGAAAGTTAGGCACAGCCTCTAGCTAAGTGGAACCATATGAAATTGAAAGTATTTGCTTTTAAACAAAAAATGATAATTTCATATTCAATCTGATACTTGTAAAGGAAGTGCTTGATTATCTGATAAACAAAGTCATGCAAGCCCTCCTTGTCCCTATTTATTTGGCTTACCTAACCTATTGGATTTTCACGTTCTTACTACCCTTGATAGGATAAAGAAATCCACAGGATCGATGTGTCCCCAAACAAATTTATTTTACATTCAAAAAGGTAACTCTTTTATTCCAGTATTTGGAACCAGAACAAACCATTTCATGTTCTCCGTAACAAAATTTTAATTTTATAGACACCAGCTGTACCTTGCACTGTCTCTATCCTCCCATGGTAGAAAAAGCTAACTTTTAACCTACTACAGTTTTTATTCTACCCTGGATTTAAAGAAGACAATATAGGGGGCCAGGGTTTCCATGGGTTTGAATTTTTGCCCCAGCACACACTGCACACTTACTTATGTGATCTTGGACAAATCTTTTTTACTCTTTCTGATTCTTAATTTCTTCATTTGTAAAATGAACATAATATAACCTAACTTTTAGGATATCTGTAATATTTAAATTTTAAAACTAAAATTATGTAAAGTACTTAACATACTTTACAGGGCCCAGCATGTAGTATACTCTCAATTAATAAACACTAGCTATATAGCTGTTTTTTTAAGGTGAAAATGGAGTTATCAATTTACATTAAATACATAACACAGATTCCTGCTTGATGATGTATATTTAAGAATTAATATATGTAAATTTGGCAAATAGAAAAGATGATGAAAAATGTGATGATTTACGTAATTCTGCCCAGCTGCTTATCAGGTGTTGAATACATGGCACTAGAAATGGCCCAAGAGCCAGGATCTGCAGTGGGCATGGGCAGGGGAGTGTGGAATTGCCTCTCTGTTACCCTTCTGCCCAGTTTCTAATGGGCAGCTCTTCCAGGGTAGTCAAGAGGCTGTTCTACGTGATAGCAGATAGAGCAGAGGGAGAGAGACTGTGGAGTCCATAGCAAGGGAAGGTGAATTCTCTGGGCTTCCTCCACAGAATGAAAGGATAACTCCAGTAGCATAGGGACTCTTCTACAACCCTCTGCATCCTGTGCAAAGTCTTTTCTTTGACCCAAAAAGGGAAGGGACTGGCAGTGCCTCCAAATAGCTATTCATCCTATTACACAACCTCAGCTGCTGTGGCTAAACCTGCTCCTCCTTCCAGAATTCCTACTATGGTAGGAATAGTGTGAAAAGTGCAAGCCACCAACAGTCCTGGCAGAAGCTTGTAAAGTTCTTCCTCCCTTTGATCCCAAAAGGCAATGTGTTAGAGCCCCCCTTAGGTAGCCAGAGAGAACCAAGCCTGCTGTGGTTTAGGAAAAATGGAGAAACGGCCTTTACACTCTCCCAGCCACGGGCAGTTTAGCAAAGATGCATGCCTTGCCATGCAGACCATAATCCGAGTCAAAGCCCTCCCTAGGGTATAGTAATCATATCCTGGCTGATAGCCCTGGCTACCAAGCTTGGGCCCTGGCTACCCAGCTTGGGACGCCCTGAGCAGCTGACAACAAGATATTCACTCTGTAAAAAAGGAAAGAAAGAGAGAGAGCTTAAAAAAAAAAAAAAAAAGAGTAAGTAAAACCCTCATCCAACTTGGCAAAGGTAAAATATTAATTGAATCAAAAAGAATGGAATGTTTCAAAATGTATTGCTCAGCGTGTAAGTTATACTCTATATATGAACACATACATGTCACTCATTTTTGTAACACCTCTTTCTCACAGCCACATTTGACCGTCATTGTGACCCTCACTGATGATGACCTAGGAGTGCACAGTGAACATTGGTAACACTGTAGGAAAAAACAGTGAGAGTTCCTGTAGGAATTGCTCTGACTACATGTTCACATGTGACCTGGTTACTGGATAATATGTTTTTAAAAATACTCAATTTTTTTCCAGTCATCTATTAGCCCATATCATCAGCCTCAAAGCCCAGCACTATGACCAAATTAGTAAATGGAAGTGAATTAAATTGTTCCACTTTCCTTTCCTGTGCATATATATTACTTTGCTGGCCTTTTATGACTTCTTTCCTTGAAGATTGCCCTTGCTCTTAACTTAAACATGATTGTGGAAAAATCCTGGTTCATCAAGTGGTGTGCTGCGTGTTTAGGCAGGTGTGTGTTTGTTTGCACCCAGTGTGACATGCCTTGTGTCTGTACCCAGAAAGGCTCCAATGTGAGGGGCCTGGAGAGTTTGTTGAAGCCTTTCCTGTATGCCCCATGAGAACTTAGCCTCTGATTTCTGATCCCGCATAAAGAGGGAGCTAGTCTTTTCTGTAACAGGGCCTGCAGCACAAGATGCAGCTTATTAATTATTAGTTGACCACGGTTCTCCTCAAGTTGAGAAAAGCAGTGGCTTTGGGAGATGCAGGAGCAGGGCCACAGGCAGAGCATTTGTTAGGACATAGGAACAAATGAACAACTCTGCAGCCCTGAAGTCAACATCAGAGCTTTGCTCAGCTTCAAAGCAATGATCCTGATCCTCTGGTTCCTCTGAAGGATCTGCAGCAGTGTCCTTATTGGAGGAGCATGGCACAGAGTGAGAACACTTGGGTGGGTGGGTGGACAACCTTACCTATGTGTTACAGACCCGGCAATGAGATATCATGGTAGCTCTAAAGAAAGACTGAATTTATGAGTATAGATAGGAAAATCTGGCCACAAGAAAGTTGCTTGCAGGCTTTGATTTCAACGGTTTCTTTTCTTGAGACAAAGTCTCACTTTGTTGCCCAGGCTAGAGTGCAGTGGTGCAATATTGGCTCACTACAACCTCTGTTGTCTCCCAGGTTCAAGTGATTCTCTTGCCTCAGCCTCCCGAGTAGCTGGGATTACAGGCGCACATCACCAGGTCCAGCTAGTTTTTGTATTTTTGGTAGAGACAGGGTTTCGCCATGTTGGCCAGGCTGGTCTTGAACTCCTGGCCTCAGATGATTC